CGTTTCCAAATAATTTTTTTCACAGGGACTAATAAACGCGAATGGATTAAGTCAATAGCTGCATAGAACCGACAGAGTTATAAGGAGTAATTAATGCAATTTACCATAATACATGAGCTGAGTTGATTCAAGAACTGATATCACAACACTTGGGGTATTCCCACCCATAAGGGCTCTGTCCCCATCTTCAGCAGCCGGCGCAGAGTTCACCATACTGTATTGGCCCCTGATGCAACAGCTGAGGCCAGCATTATGCAGTGTTATTTTAGCATTGAAGGTCTGTTGTGGGAAGTCGCCAACGCTCGTGGTCTGCATCTTCACTGTGCACTTCTATACGCCTCCTTACTTCAGAGTTGGTTGTCCGTTCATATTTAAAGTTGTCTTCATCTCTGTAAACAATTTTATTGGCATCCAGGCTTGAGTGGGCACCAGGTGTCGTCAAACACGAACACTATACAAGAAGAATAGTAAATTAACACAGAACTGGTGTTATCAGCGCCACACGCTGAAGGATACACTGAAGATGGGATCAGAGCGCCTATGGACTTGCCCGATGTGCGATGAGGATAATCTGTGGATTAACTAACATTTTTTAAAGGGTGAAATTTCACAGGGAGAGAACCCACTAATCATCGTAATCGTTATGTGGGACTTATCTGTTAAGGAAGAATTTTACATGCAGCTTCAAAATATTATGAATAATAAAAAAAAAGGGCAATTAAAAATTGTTGATAGGAGACCTGAATGCTAAGATAGGATCAGACAACACAGGTTATGACGAAGTTTTTCTTATTGCTCGTGCATGATTTGTCTCCCTTCAAGCAGTTCTTTTCTTTGCTTTGGGTTTAAATCAGAGTCGACGACTTAAGCGTTGCGAAAGTGCTTTGTAATTCCCAGATAACCGGTTCGATTCCGGTTATAAGTGATTTGTCAGCAGACCGCCTTGTGTGGATATCGGCAGTCATACCCAGAACCGACCGATGAGTGTCAATGGCAAACTACTGAACGTAAAATTGCCTAGTAAAACCAAATAGCAATGTTGTGGTTTGGTTTCGCAACGTTTGTAACATTCCGTCCCAAAATATTGGACGCAAGATTTCTGATTTTAAAGCCCTACATCTGCTGGACTTAAGATCTTCTTCTTCTTTGCGTTCGGTTTCGTATGCTCAGATCAGACCATCAGGTGGGTTGCCTCTATGAACTCGCATGTCAGCTGCAGGTCCTGCAAGGTTCCCCATAGCTTGCTCTGCGCACTTTGCTGTTGAGGCCAGGTGTCTTTTCGAAGTTGCAGGTAGAGTGGGCAGGTCTGTAGAATGTGCTGAGGTGTTTGTGGTCCTGTCTGACAGGCACACTGTGGGGGACTGCACAATCTTTATTTTATGCATGTGGTAGTTGAGCCTGCAGTGTCCTGTTCGTAGACGGAAAATTGTTGTATGTTGCTTTCTGTTGAGTCTTCTGATGGGGTCTTGTGGATGTTTACTGTTAGTTTGTTCTCTCCACAATCCTTAGTATTTTCCTTTGATAAGCGTTTTGATTTCTGGTAATGACAATGAATGGGCGTGTTGTTTCTTCTTTGTTCCATTTTTAGCAAGTTTGTCTGCTAGCTCATTTCCTGGTATGCCGCAGTGAGCCGGGATCCACTGGAGAACGATTTGATTGTTTACTGTGAGTCTGTTAAGCTGACGGGTCAGTTCTCTTTCTATGTTGTCTCGTGGATCCTTATGAGTCGCCTGGAGGACTGACATGCAGTCACAAAGGAAAACAATTTTGCTGTTTTTAATTTTTCTTTCCTTGAGCACTTTGGCTGAATCAATAATTGGGACTTAAGATCGTAACCGTCATTGGTAGCCCCTTATATAACCTTACTGTTGAACAGGGTTTCTTGGACTTGGGAATTTTCATCAAAATGGTGGCACTTTGTGTCACCAGGGGTTAATCGCTCGTTGTGGGGTTAAACATTACCTGCTCGGTCTGTAACGTCCTGCGAGTGATGCAAAGCTAGCCTGCAGGTTTAAGAAGCCATTCATTATGTGTATTTAAAGAACTAAACTAAAAGTATAAGCTACAACAATTGTAGTAAAAGTTGTTAGTCCCCCTTTTAAGAGTTCTGCATGTCTTACTCTTAATCATTGAAGAAAAATACAGAAGTTTTTGAAGTGACATGTTATACAAAACAAATTCTTAGAATATCATGGATGAAGAAGAAGAAAAATACTGTCATCCTGCATGAGCTGAGGATCAAGGAGAATTTGATCACAACAGTATCCTATCCATAAAACCGAGGTATTCTGTGATTGTTGAACGACACTGATGCCTGGACAGAGCGGTGATGGAGAGTACAATTCCCGGAAAAAAAGCAGACCACAGAAAATGTAGAAACAGGACATTACAGATGCACTGTCTATAGAAGTACATAGGGCTGGAGAGAGAGGGAGACAGAGAGAAACTTTCAAGCGTGCCGCAATGAGAGTGGCGTTCTGTGAAGGACCTGTTGACTGATGATGATGATTCATCTGCCTATCACCCAACAGCAGAACACAGACTTCATCATCTCTGACTGGTCCAATCTTTAAGTTACTATGTAACCATAGAGACTTACCAGATCCACTCAATATATAAACCCCAATATAGCTTCTATATCGGTGGTTTTTAACCTGGGGCTGGGGGAAGGAAGTTTCAAGGGGACGTCAAGCAATCTGGAAATTGAGTTCATTTGTACCTGTATTTGTTTCGGTGGGGGTGCTGGGTGGGTGGGGGTGCAGTATCTTGCAATGCTTTCAGTCATAGAAAGAAAACACAGATACCAGCTTGACATGGACCGCGATCTCAGTTGTGTCTTGTCCAACACCAAACCAAAAAATTAAGACAAAGACCGTCAAGACATAACAGTGTCACACAGAATTTCTATTGTAAAGAAAAATGTGTTTATCCCCAGCAATTTTTCTTGCTTGAATACTTATCTGGATAATAGTAATTTATATTAAGAGCAATCAATTCTTGGGTCCCTAGAGAGTTCTTATCAGATTAGTGTTTTCAGCAGACTAACCAAATCTGGCTCCTCTGGTATTTAGTTTCTCAAAAAGGAACTTGTGATTCTTCAAAACTGTTACTGATGTCATTTATGGAAAACAAGAACAGAGCCACTGCCTGCCCAAAAAGTGTGTTGCAGGAATAGACTAAGTGGGAGTTTACATCAAAGTCAAAGTACATCTGCCTGAGAGGCAAGGGACCAGCAGTCTGCATATAAATGAGTCAGATCTGTCAAAGGGATGCACATGCAACACTTAGGTTCTGAAACATGACTGCAGTCCAGAACTGGATGAACAAACAGCACTTTCCGCTAGAGTTTACAGCTGGTGAACGTGAAGAAGAAGACTATGTCCTAAACAAAATGTCATTCTCCGCGTGGGTTCTCGGGCCCCATTATGGGGGGAAACAAGAACAGACCCACTGCCTGCCCCAAAAAAGCTTGCTGTAGGAGTAGACTAATTGGGAGTTTCCTTGAAAGTCAAAGTGCATCTGCCTAAGTGACAAGGAATCAACATACAAATAAAGCCAGATCTGTAAAGCGGATGTGGATGCATAAATTAGGTTCTGGAACAAGACTAAAGTCAGGAGGTGGACGAACAACAGAATTTTCCACCAGAGTTTACAGTCTTGTGAACGTGAAGAAGATGAAATGTGATCCATGAAGCAAAGCATAACACACAGAAAGTCTCCATTGCCTGTTATCTGGCAAAAATTGTTATGCTGCCCAGCTAACAGTTGACCCCTCATTTTGTTTAGCTATTGAAAGTTGCACTGTTACATATGCTAGGAATAAAGCCAGTCTTACAGGTCATCAAGGAACAACAAATGAAGTGGTGTGGACACCTAACAAGAATGCCCTGGTACTGCCACAGCGAGCCACACTAAAAAAACTGGTATAGAGCGAGTGGAAGACCTCGCTCGGAAAATATGGAGTGATGGCAATAACAACAGCCTTACAGAAATGAACATCAGTCTTAATAGTGCTCTTGACAGAGCTCATCAACGAACGTTACATCTCCCCCTGACATTTTGATAAGGTACAAGGTGGAAGAGAAGAAGAAGAAGAAGACATATGCAGCATGGAGCCAAGAGTGAAATTAATTCTGTTTTAAACATGAAAAGGTGCTCTTGAGACAGATGAACTCATAAGTTTATGAGAATCAATCATTTTTATCTCGTGCATGAGGTGGTGGTGGTATGCAGGATTCAAAACTGGTGTGGAAATGAATGAAAATGAAACTTGGCCAGGATGCCCAATTGCTGGTAATAATAAAAAGCCACTGTCAAAGTCAGAGAACATAAAGACTGGCCGTAAAGTTAGCAACAGAGACATACAACAAGAAATACAGGTTAAAGGAGTGCATATAGAAACTGTTAAACAACACAGTCAGAGAGCACATGACTGACCAGTGTGAGGAAAAAAGAGACAGATAAACAGATATGCAGATAGATAGATAAGCAGACAGGTGGATATGCAGAAAAATGGATACACAAACAGATTCATAGACACAGAGGAAGAGAGAAAAAGAGACAGAGGGTAAAAGAGCTAGATATCTTTTGCAGCAATCTCTCTTGTAAAAATGGTGCCAGATTGCTTATATTTTATATATCAAATTACAATGTGAAAATATAAGATGTCTCCAGGACCTATCTGTTACAAAGTAAATAATAATTTTTCCAATTTTGTAATGCTGTATCCGTGTCAGTGTTTTTTGTGTACTGTTGAAGATTTTCTAGCTGCAACGTCAATTATGTCATATGTGATTATGTTTTTCTAAAGCTGACATGTTTCACATTCAGTTTTTGTTGGTTTACTTAAAGCAAAAATATAAATTCAAAACTCAAAACAATCTGAAAAGTTAACCATGTTTATAGCTGAATTATTTCCCCCGGCAACAGATTTTATAAATATACACACATAAACATAAATATCAGGACAGTGCACAATAAAAATTTAGCAACTAGTTCAATCATGCAGGCACAGGCTCCTGTGGGTTGTACTGACGCTTGGAGACAAATATTTTATGCTGAGACACGGTTATCACGTAGATAATATCATCCAGAACCACTGTGAATAAAATAATAACAACCTCTGTATGTTATATCAGCAGAAGATAATATGATACATATCTTATCGGTACAAAATACTTGTGACATAGCCTCTCCAGAGAGGAACAATGTGGGATAATTAAAACTAAGAATAAAATAACTACAACCTCTGTATATCAGCAGATGATTATGATTATATGATACTTATCTTCTTCCTCTCTTCCTCTGTTACCCCTCTGAGTATCGGGGAAGATATAAAGTACTTTTTCTTGCTGTCTGGCCACCTACATCATTGACACATTGTGCTGTTGTAAAGTTTTTCTGCTTTTATCTTTTAATCTTGTCATGTTCTACATCCTTCTCCTATTTAAGTGGATGCTTTATCTGGTGTGGCATCACAAGGCGTTCTCTCCATGTATGCAAACTATTTCATTTGCTGTCTTTGTATGTAATTTAGAATTGGTTCTGTGTTGACTTTTTCTCATAAGACCTCATTCCTGATTTGATCTCTTCAGGTCATGCCTGCAGCCCTTCTAAGACATCTCATTTCCATGTTCGATATGTATCTTGTTGGTACAAAATACTTGTTTCATAGCCTTTCTAGAGAGGAACAATGTGGGACAATTCAGTCTTAGAACTGGGCACAACAGACTGTACCAACACATGTTCAAGTTTTCCAGTGTTACAAACATAGGAATGCGTCCTTGCTACAATGCACCCAAAAATGCTGACATATACACCAACACTGTAAACTGTATACCGTATAGAAGCAATATGGCCTATTCCAACCACAATCAATACAAAGCTGTACAGCAGACAATCAGGTGTGGACTGCACAATAGCTTTCATGAAGGCTACCGTCGATATATGTTTTTCTGACAGAAAAATAAAGAAATAAGGACTAACAAACTATTTCCAAAGTTTCATGAATCTGGAACACAGGCCTGTCTTTGAATCGACCATTCCAAACCCCAATCTTTCACATGACAAATGTACTTTATATAAAATCATGCTATGTTCATACATCAAAAAGCAAAGAAATAAATAAAAACAACAGAACAGAACAACACTGGGGCTCAAAAACTTGTGGTGAGCTGAAGAGAGCAGAAGATGGAGTCACGTACAATTATACATTAACATATTTGTAAAAAGGACCTCATTATGCCAGTTATCCATCGAACATTTGATGCTAGACCCAATTTTTATAGGCGATTTGGTCAACATTATGCAAGCCACCTTTACTTCCCAGGACAATACCTGGTACCCATTTTTAGGCTCAATCAACTTCGGAGCCAAGGGTGATTTTAGGGGGGAAAATATGTCTTGATGTAGATTCGAACCTAAGATATCTGGATCGGCATTTAGCCACTATGCTATGGAGGCTCCCACATACTTAAGTAAGGAATATAAAATCTTCTTGCAGTGACAGCAGATCGCATGACATTTTTTTTTAAAAAAATGCAACACAATAGATATTTTAATTATGATAATTAATAAAAATTTTGATGAAATTATTATTACCTTCTTGCATTATTGATAAAATAAAATTCAATCCCCTCGCACCAATCTCTGTTTAAATCTGGAAATCTAAATGGCGTTTAAATTTAACCTACCAAATTAAAAGAAATTTAAAAAAAAAAAAACGTCCTTCTGATGCGAACTGAGTTATGTAATCTTCTTGACACCTCGTACAACAGATGTGGACAGGTGGTTCCCAAAAATCTCTGATTGTCCTATCTCTTTGAGAGCAGTAACCCCGTTGACGTGATCCATAGGCTGAACACCTGTAACTAAGGCCAATCTATCATCTCTTTTACTGCCAACTTCTGATGCATGCATTATTATTAAGAACGGCAGCGAAAGAAGATGAAAATGGTGACTGGGTGAATATTCAGTATTCAAGAGAAAGTAGCTCGTCGTTGACTACATTCGACTGTTACGGAATGTCCTCATTTTAATTTTAAAATGTTGCTCTGGTCGCAGAGGTCCTCAGCCACACAGATGGCGCACTAAGACGACAGCTCATGCCGGTCAAGATCTACCCCCACTTCTTCGGTGTCCTCCTATAAACTAAGTGATTAGTTAGGATTATCCTCACAGCACTCCAGGCAGATCCACAGGCACTCCCATCTCCTCCTCCACTTATGACACCTGTTCTTCATTAATTAACCAAACCTCATGTCCCCTAAGTGAAATTTCTTGCAGCTTTAGGCAGCGCCCCTATGTCTATCAGCCTAGACAGGGATATGAGTAATCTTTTGCTGTATCAGACTTCAGAGTTAGTGTAGCGCATAACATTGATAACATCACTTCTATCCAGTACCGGCAGTTTCCGTTGGGTAATGTACGTGAGTGTGGTCAACACACAGAGGACCAACGTTTCTTTCAAAGTTTAAATGCAGCTGAATGAGTGACTAGATACCAACTGTCTGCAAACAAATAAGCCAGAACTGTCAAATGGATGGGTATGTAAAACTAAGACTTAAAACAAATCCAAATTCCAGAGGTGGCCAAACAACCAGGACTTTCCGCCTGAGTTCAGAGCCAGTGAACACCAAGAAGGTAAGAAGAAAATATTGCACACCTGATAATCGCTTCATGACATCTTTCTTGTCCGTTGTCACCGGAATATTGTAGGCTGTGTGAACTAGTTTTGTAATCTTTGTTGCCGTGACTTCGTCATTTTCCAGCTGGCCACCAGACTGGGCAGAAAAAAAAATTACAAATTTATTTATGTCATAATTAAGCACATTACATGTAAAGAGAAATATAATCTTGTCACTACTGAGAGTGCAACTCCCATGTGGGTTCCGGTGCAACTCCCATGTGGGTTCCGGTGCAACTCCCATGTGGGTTCCGGTGCAACTCCCATGTGGGTTCCGGTGCAACTCCCATGTGGGTTCCGGTGCAAATCCCATGTGGGTTCCGGTGCAACTCCCATGTGGGTTCCGGTGCAACTCCCATGTGGGTTCCGGTGCAACTCCCATGTGGGTTCCGGTGCAACTCCCATGTGGGTTCCGGTGCAACTCCCATGTGGGTTCCGGTGCAACTCCCATGTGGGTTCCGGTGCAAATCCCATGTGGGTTCCGGTGCAACTCCCATGTGGGTTCCGGTGCAACTCCCATGTGGGTTCCGGTGCAACTCCCATGTGGGTTCCGGGGTGCATGGGGTAAAAGAACAGACCCTCAAACCCCCAACAAGCATGTTGCAAAAAAAAATGACTAATTAGAAGCTTGTTGAAATCCAACGTGCTGGGTAAAAAGGTACTGATATCACAGCCTAGCTGTATACTACAACATGACATGCGAACCACCCTTTTAATGGCATAAACAAAAGACTGATAACATCCAAACAGTTTTAAAAACTGGAAATACTAAACCCTTAAAATTTAACATCTTCATCCGTTGAACTGCTTATGCCATGAAGCGGTTATTTAATTTAAGTTAAAGTTAGTTGCGTATCCTTTACAGGACGTTGCATAACCAACCCCAGCATTCGTTGTTGTGGTTTTTTTCAGGCAAATTTTACATTCAGTAGTTGGCCATTGCTTCCTGAATTTTCAGCTCTAGGTACCATTCTCAAAACCAACACAAGACAAATCATCCACAGTTGTGATCGAACCTGGCACCCTGGCAATACAATGCTTGTTCGCAATGCTTAAGCCACAGATGCTGACATTTAATTTGAGAATAACCTGGAAAAAAAACATCCTCCCGCTTTTCAGAATGAAAGTGTTACTACAGGTTACTTTGTTATATTATAACTGTTAAGGTTTGTTTCAACGTACGAAATGCATATACTTTTGCTGTAATCTACTTCCTAAAGAGAGTAAGGCCAGTACACTTACACTGATAACAGCACCATCTTCGGTCAGCACCAGAAAACCAAGTGAATCAGGGATTCTGTCAATTCCATGAGCTGCCATTGTCTTCAAATTAGAACTGAATAAAAACCAAAAATAGCAAAAATCAGATAAGCATGAACATACATTTGCCCACCCTGTTTCCTCTTTTTTGAGCCTGTATAGATTCTTCTTCAAACATGTCCAGAGTTCAAAAGTTGGGGGGCAACAGACAAAGGTTTGGTCTTTATAACCGATCCAGTCACGATTGTTAAATGACTGCTCTGGTTTTTGTTATTTTCATTTGTACTTTCCACTGCATTTCCCCCTGCATTTTTATCATGGTGTGAGGCGTCACAGGTCAACCCAGCCTAAAATGGGTACCAGGATGGCTGTCCTGGGGAAGTAAAGACAGCCGGCCTAATGCTGACTACATTACCCACCTAGTGCAGATGATCTGTAAAAATATGGGCGCTCTTCCCATATAATATATATATATCTTATGATGAATCTTTGGACCCATCAAAGATGCAAACAAAAGGGAAGGGAAAGGGAGAAGCAACAATTAAATCTATAGTCTGTTTAAATAACCACTGATCATTGGCATCATGAGAGCCAAAAAAAAAACTGAAATGGCTGGGGTATACTGAGAGAATGTCAGATGACAGAGAGGTAAAAACTATATACAAGGGAGCTGAATGGGCATAGATCACGAGGCAGACCTCGTGAACTAAATATTGAAGAGCCAGATTTTTAAGAAGTACTACATGTCATAACACGGCTTAAAAACAACAAAGAAACTGGTGCTGATAAAATTGCTGCTAAACTAATACTAATAAAATCACAGAACACGAGGAATATTCAGACAGACCTACAAACACTTGGTGTCACCAACTGGAAAGGGAAGGTAAACCAGAGAGATAAATGGAGGCAGGTGATATCTGCAGCAATGAATCTTAAGGGCTTGGAATGCTGAGAAGAAGTACATCAACAATCCTTATTTCTGCTGGTGAGTTGGTGTGGGAGTCATGGTGAACCTTATAGGCACAGCAGTGTAGAAAGTTTGACTGCTATTCTGAGCTGGTCGTTTAGATGTTTAATATCATCAACCCCTTGAAAGACAAGATAGTGAACCCGCACTTGTCCAGTAAATCAGGCAGTTGTATTGTTGAATGTGTACTCCAGCTATAACGAATTTACTTATCTGCTTTATTTTAATTAAGTGTTCACTGTTACCGCAGTAGGTACCTGACGAGATACAGCAAAATATGCCAGGCAATAAATTTACAACGGGGAAACATTGCTTTGATATAATAAAACATGAATTCTTTTTACTAAAATAGTGAAACACTTTAATTTTAAGAATCAATTTGTGTCAAGTTAGACCGTATACAGCTGCAATGGAAAATCTGTTAGACTGTGCATCTTTCGGCTTTCTTCTGAATAACGGTCCCAAATTATCGAGGTAGAAAATATACGCTAACAGGACCTCAGTCACATGTAAATTGCGGACTTTCTGTGACTTAAATTGCGCACCTCTGGCGACTACCGCCACCGCCGAGAGCATCTCCCACGCCGTGTGAATTGGGGCTAAACTAGATGGCTGGGACTCATGAGCAGCAGCTACCGCATCTCCCTCTCCTGCGGCTTCCTTCATTTTATTTGCTCGTGGCGGAAGTTCGCAATTTACATCATGTGACTGAGGCCCTGTTAGTTACTTAGTAGTGTTAGGGTATATTTTCGGCCTCGATAATTTGGGACTGTTATGAACTTATTCGGAATATAGCCCATCTTTCCAATGGATAAACATGGATAAAATCCTACGGTATAAGGAAGCCATTCAAAACTCACGCCACATTTAACGTCCTCCACAGTTCAGCTCTTACGGTTACGACACCTGACTTCCCAAATCAATTGAATGCATCATCATCAACTGTGTTTTATCTTCCTACAGTGACTCAGGAAAGAAACAAGACAGTCAATAAAAAAAGTGTACAGTGCTTACTTTAACTGACAAGCAGCCTGCGACGACCTGTTAGAGAAATAATATCTGAAAGCTTATCTAAAGTCGATCAAACAAAAGAATTAGATGTCCGCAAACTTCCTCCCTAAATCAAGCAGACAACCATGTTTTGTCACGTGATACTTTCTCTATTGGGCTTGTCTCCCTTTATTTGGAACTTCCTCGTACTTGCAATGTTTCACATTAGTTATCATCATAATTATCATCATCATCATAAACCACTTCTGCCAATAAGCGCTGTGGGGAGGAATAATTTGCGATCCAGTGCACGTTGGCTGCCACTGGCAATTGTCATGTCGTGAAGGTGTGGAGTGTCTTTAATGTTTTCGATCCATATTTCCGCGGTGGTCCTCTTGCTCTTGTAGTTGATCTTCTGAGATGTAGTGCTTGTGATGGTATTTGATCTTGCTGCATTCTCACGAGATGGCCAAATTACGTGATCTGCTGTTTCTCGATGAATCTAGTAGAAAATGTCGTTCCCACAATTTGCCTGATAGTTTCATTATTCACTCGATCTCGTATGGTTAGGTTGGCTGCTTTTCTCAGGCACCTCATCTCGCAGGTGGTAATTTTGCGTATATGGGCTTTATATAGTGTCCATGTTTGGCACTGGTAGCTTAATGTTGGAATAAATATGCTATTAATAATCTGTCTCTTTGCACTCATAGTTATGCTTGGATGTCTTAATAATGGTGACAATTGGTATATAGGTGCACTTGCTTTCTGACACCTGGTTTCTGTTTCTCTGTCAATTCTACCATCTTCTGTGGTCATACTTCCTAGATATTTGAACTCCCTAACATGATTCAGGGCAGAACCATTCAGCTGTATGTGTAAGGGGCAGGGGTTCTACTAACTTACATTTATTCTTACGTAAAACAGGAGTGACTGCAGTCAAGCTAATTCTGCTTCTTCTGTCTTCTGTCCCCGAATAGAGCATAGACCCTTAGTGAGCAGACAAGTCGTCCTAGCCTTCACTATTGCATGCAGCTCACCCTCCCCCTCCCCCTCCTCATCATTTTAACTTCACTCTCTAGTACTTTTCCACGTGATTTTGGTCTAATTTATTTATGTGCTCTTGTGGGTTCCAATGCAAAGATATCCTAGTTATTTTTCTCTCTGGCTTTTTAAGCGTGTGTCCTATCCTATGCCAGCGTTATTTCTTCACGTCTTGGTCTACTACTGAAGATAATACCGAAAAATTACTTTTCCTTTTGTTGATGTGCTGATGTTTTGTGTCGAGAACGGCTCCGGCAGAAACCTTCTTTGTTTCTTGCGTGTATACATTGTTCCGACTCTCTCTCTCTCTCTCTCTCTCTCTCTCTCTCTCTCTCTCTCTCTCTCTCTCTTAGTCATGCTTTTTAGTCACAGTTCAGTGGTTTCGTCTTAACATCATCATCCTCAGCTTCATGTCCACGACCATCAGCATCAGTATTATCATCATTCACAAACATAAGTCCTTTGTGGTCTTGATCAATTTATTAGTTTGAGATCTGTCTGCTAATCCATTATGCAATGAACAAACATCCCTTTTCCCGTTGCTAAAGGAGAGAGGAAATTGTTGATTTGTGTGTGTGTATGTGACTGATTTTCTACCCCATCTAGGACATCACACAAGCGATAAACACCAGATGACACAATGTGCCACCATGTGGGTGAGGATCACAGTGGAGAGGTCACAGAAACCGCGTTCAGCCTTTAGGTCATATTTATGGCCAGGCTATATTGCGGGCCACGGCAAGAGCCAGAGTAGGGCTTTAAAAAAAGAAAAATTGCATCCTAAAAAGGACGCAAAATGTACATAGTCATAGTGTATGTGTGTGTGGAAAGGGGTGGGTATCAACATTCAGTTTGCAATTTCTAGTCACAACATGAGAAAAGGAGCACTGGAACACGTAAAGATTAGGTAGTTCACGGGGAAAAGAGACAAAAGGAGACCAAAGAAGAAGATTCTGGATAATTTGCCATCATGACATGGATAAACATATGTGACAGAAAAAAAAATGATTATTGTACACAGAAGACAGAAGGCTGTGAACCAAACTGACGCCTACACGACACGGCATGGATTATCAGAAATTTAAAAATCAAAGCGAGATAAGCGCTACAGTATTTACAGTGTAAATTCAAAACTGAGTTATCTCTCGTAGTATGTTAAACAGATCTTTGAATTATGCATACAGTTTTAAGGTTTAAACAACGGATCAACATCATAGCACAAGGGTAGTAACCCATAAATGCTCCGTTCTACTTCTAACTCAGTTATGAGTCTGAAGAATCTCAGTGCAGTGCACGAACTCTGTAGCACTAGCGGGGATCCTGAAATACTTTAGATAAAAATTTAACTCCAAATTGTGCCCGGGCAACTCTTTTCGATTTTCAACTACCAAGGGATTTTTTGCGTGCGCAACAATATACACGGTCGTCCGATCTTACTACCCAGAGCCTTCACTGGGGTTTGAACCTGGCACCTCCAGCACTCATGGCGGACGTCATGCCTCGAGACCACGCAGCCTCCTCCCCCCGCCCCCTTTTCACCTTTTGAATTGTGCAGAAAATTAATTTCAACAACACAAATTATGAACAAGTCTACTGTTGCTCTACCCGGATGCCGGAGCTTAGGGAAGGAAGAGGGGGGGGGGGGGGGGACGTTGAGCATTCCCAAATATATATATACTGGGGGGGGGGGGGAGGAATGTTAAACCCCACTCTAATTATTGTTTTTTTGTGGAGTCAATATGTAAACTTTCAAATGTATAGATATATTTATTTGCCACTCAGATAA